CAGTAGCACTATCCCAGTTCCTACACTGCTCAACAACAGGTAAAATACTTCCACCACAAGTCTTAGTTTAGGTTCTCTATTTTAACTGTAAAAAGCTTTTTTCTCTCCTACAGTAATTATACAACTGGACTCTAATGTAAGTCTCAATGTTGCTTCAGAGTGTATGATAAAAGGACAGGAATCCAAGCTGGGTAGTACTGATAATTACTCTACTAAATCTTAACCCAAATGGAACTTTGATATAGAAATGACCCTTGCTCTCCTTTTACCTCTCCCTTTCTTTTTTTCCAACCCCCCAAAATAAAAAGAATGAATAAAAATGAAATTTTAAAATGTCAAAAGCAAAGGCAGAAGAATTTACAATCGAGAACAGTAAATACTATAATAGGGTAAATATTCTAAATGGCATACCATAGGTGTTAAGCACTGTACTTTTACCCTCCGAAAATATGGAGGCAGTGGGTTCTCCCTACTCAGGTACAGGTAGGCTTCAACAGAAAGAGAGAAACTTGATCATACTTAAAACATCAGAAGTAGCATATAACCTTTAAATGATTTAACTCAGTTTTATCATTTTAATAAAGAATTTATTTATCAAAGCACTGAAAGACTCACTGACTTATACCAACTCATGAGAGACTTAAGACAAATTCAAGGTTTGTTAAGTGTAAAGTTATTTCGTATGTGATGGAAACGACTTTGCCTACTTAATGGGCTTCGTCATTGGCACAGCAGATAACCAAGTCTAACTTACCTCTTGTCCATACTTCACTGAATGATCGGAAGGAAGCAGTTCAATGTCACCCTCCACCATGGCCCCTTCCAAACATTCATCTAAGTTGCGATAACCGTTTACCTGAAGGGGATACTGGCCGAAGGTCTCATTGTTACAAAAGGGCTTCCCTAGGCAAAAAGAGAGATTGATTTCTTTAAAAGACATCATTACACCATCTGTAGCCTCTTTTCTGGCACCACAGAGACGAAATCTCCTTAAATTCACAACTTCCTGAGAATTCATTAGAACTGCTCTTCAGACTGTGGCTACCTCTAATGAGCCAGGGGGTCCAGGCATTGATCATTAAGCGCTACTAACATCACAGTGAGACAACTAGACATGTGTCTCCTGATCAAAGAACATCCCACCACCTATCAGTCAAACTTGCCAAAAAAGAACCTTACCTGAATCTGGTCACACCTCTAGATCCAACTACTAATTTACAGAACAGGAGTAGAGTGGAACATGTTAAACATGATCAGCAAAATCCAGACTGAGAACTACTAGAGGAAAAGCAGCTCAGTCTCTTCACAACAGACATTTCAATGAAAAGAAGGATGGAGGGAGTATACAGATTTTTAAGAGACCTGAAAGATCTGCCAATCACATTTTGAACAATGACTAAATATTTCAATTTAAGCTTTTTCTTGAGTAACAGTTGATATGTTTTTAAAAGAACAATGGAGAGGTAAAAGTAGATAAGGGCTAGATGACGAATGACTGGCAGGGGCTAATGGCAGCTGGGAATATTATCCACACTAACACCAATAATTTGTACATAAGGAGCCCTCATGGCCTAGCGGGTTACACATTGGGCTGCTAACACAACAGAAGTTTGCATCCCACGGCCATTTTGCAGGAGAAAGATAAAGCTTTGTTTCATAAAGATTTACAGCCTTGGAAACCCTACACAGGGTTCACTATGAGTCAGGAGTCACTCGATGGAACACAATCACTTTAAATTCTCAGTGGGAAAAACATTTATTCAATAAAACCTTTTGAGACTAGTTATTACATCAGAAAACTGAACACAGAAATTTGAGTGACATCCTTACATACATCTGACATATATGCTAGATTTTGGGCTATGTATATACATAGTACAGAGTTTAATATATAATACTGAGATCAAGATTGCCCCTTTCCTTTTTTTTTTTAAGCTTTTTATTGTGAATTAGGTGAAAGTTTGAGAGAGCAGATCATCAGTTTTATATTCAACAACTCATTCACATTTTGATTCATCACATTTGTTTATACACCCCCTTCCAGGTATATTGTTCCCATTTTAAAAGAGGCAGAGACTGAGACTCTAATGCTGAGATCTGGGTTTTTCTGACTCTTAATGTCTTTTCATCATACTGCTTTCCCAGAGAAAATTTAGTACACACTGTCTCCTAGACACAGTAAGAAAGACCTGGTTACAAGTTACTGGTCTAGACTTAACACTAGGAACAGAGAACTTACCTTCGCGAACCCCTTCGGTCAGGAAAGTACCATAGAATAGCTGCACCATTGGATTTTCAGATTTGTTGCTGGAACTGCTGTTTTTAAAGAAGGAGACAATTCAGTATCATTTGGATCAGATGTATGCTATGTTAAGCACAGCCATCATTCAGAAGTCACAAGTTGTGCATTGTCTTGAACCCCCAAATAATCAGAGTATGTTCTAAATTAAGTTACTGGATAATATTCAGGTCAAACAAGTACATGACTGCATTGTGCTGAGTTCTGGAGGCACAGACAGTACGGCAGGACCCTTGGCCTTGGGGAGCTTCAAATCCAATAGGGAAGCCACAGCCTCATATGCAGACAAAGACATGTCTTTTTATACATATGATATATACATCTAAATCCAATGACAGTTGTATACAAGGTATAGTAATAGTTAAAAACAATGAGCCCTCTGCAGTTTTACAAGTAAGTACATAAGTGTTCCTAAGGGCACAATGGAAATGAAAATTGTTCGTTTTTTTCCCCTATAAGCCCACCTTAAGTTATTAAGTGTAAGTTCGTTGCTAGTTGAAAAATTGTTTTATGATACACAATTCTTCTACCTAGAATTAAAACTATTTAGAAAACAAATTTCTCAGCATCTGCATTGTTCTTGTTGTTAAGCGCTGTCAAGTCAGTTCCGACCCATAGCGACCCTATATAGGGTTTCTAAGGAGCGACTGGTGAGCTTGGACTGCCAACCTTGCAGTTCAAACAGCTTTGCAGTCTGGTGCATTAATCCACAGCGCCACACTCAAAACCCCACTGGCAACAAGTGGATTCTGACCCATGGAGACCCTACAGGAAAGAGAACTCCCCCTGAGGGTTTCCAAAACTGTAAATTTTCACAGGAGCAGACAAAAGCCTTATCTTTCTCCCATGGAGTGGCTGGTGGGTTTGACCTTCAGCCTGTGGTTAACAGCCCAATGCCTAACCCACAGTGCCACCAGGGCTCTTGCATTAGACAAGGGACACAATTCTTTGCTCTGCCAATCGGTGAACTGGCTAAAATCGATCCTTCACATAAACAAAGCTTGGATTAAATTTAATATTTCTATATTACAAAGTTAAGAATTATGGTCCTTTTAGTAAAAAAAAAAAAAAAAAAAAAAAAGGATAAAACCAAAGGCAATGGTAATGAACATTCAATAAGAAATATAAGTGGTTACCCAATGAGGTTTGGTAAGAACCAGCTATTTCTACTTGTGAACAGTAGCTTTAGCTCATGCTTTAATTCACACTGGACCAGTGACAAGCAAATCCTCAACACTCACTTAACATTAACAGCTAACTGGAATGCGTCCTCCAGCCAATCCAGAAGCTTGTGTGTGAATTCACTCACATCTTGCTGTAAGAGAGGTATAAATTGCATAGGAGTTAGACATAACCCTAGGCTTAGGAAATGAAAATCTGTCTTTATCCCACCAATGACTAAGATTCCACTACTATGAGAGGATTTCTTTTTTAGGACCAAGTGTCATGAAGACACAAGGGACACTGGAACCTAAAGACTATAGTAAAATACAGGGTGAGTTAGGCAATCTCCGAGTAAACTGTGACCAGAAGGAAACTGAAATGCTAACACTTCCAGCCACATGTAGCTGTGGCAGAGAAAAAGAAACAAAATTTAAGTCCAAACAAGAAAAGGTAGTTCTCTCTAACAATAGAGTAGAGATCTGAATGGAGAAGGAAACATTTATGAAAATGCTTCTGCAGTTTTGTACAACTGAAGGGCTTTTATCTAACTAGAGAGAAAACACAAAAATGTATATGAGGAAAAGGCTGTTCCAATTGTGCCAGTTTGGGTTTTTTGTTAGGAAGTTGGGAAAGAAAAAGAAAAGTACTAAGTCTACAGGAGGAAAATTGCTTAGAAAAGTTAAACTGAGGTTTATATGATTTCTATTTTTAATCCCCAAAGGTGCAGATAAAGGACTTTATTTTTCTCAGTGACTCTCTGCTATGTTTTTTGGGATGTTTTCCAACCTTTTCCTTTCTACTTAAATGTTTTGTAGTCTTAAGACCGCCACAAGCTTCTCCCATATAGTGGCTGGTAGGTTCCTACACCAACTTTTTGGCTAACAGTCAAGTACTTTGCAACTATACCACCCAAACTCCTTTCTACTTCAATAGTCCCTATGGAATTTTACTCTTCCTATTACTATTTTCCTTCCTGTAGAAATGCCAACCTCTCCCCTCCCATCATAGACGGACAGACACAGATGCAGGCATATTTGCACTTTCAGCAACTGTTTCTTAGGAAAGGGCAAGCATGTACCTATGACCTTTCCTAGTCATGTTGAGAATTTAAAGTTGAAATAAAGCAATGAAACAGTAACATAAATAAGGTATAATATGAAACCTCTAGAGTTTGAAAAACAAGATAAGAACAAGCCTTCTCTTTTGTACCTGCTGTTCCTCAGATGACCGGAATGCTCCCTTTAAAAGGTCCAGGGCTGCTGAAGGGTCTACAAATTTGCGATTTGATCCCATCATCAGAGCAAACAGATACTGAAGCTCTTGCATAAACACAATATTCCTTTTTTCCTGTAGAAAACATAGAAATGAGTACTTTCACAACATCCTAATTTTGAAAATCAAAACATATAGTGAGAAAAATTGTCAACAATTACTCCCCCCAAATTATATTTATCTAGATCAGGGAGCTCCAGTGGTGCTGTGGGTACGCATTGGGCTACTAACTGCAGTGTCTGAAGTTCAAACCCAGCAGTCGCTCAGCAGGAGAAAGACTGAATACTGGAAACCCTACAGAGGGTTGCTGAGAGTCTGAACTGACTGGATGGCAGTGGGTTTAGATCTAGATCAGTAACTGATCTCCAATTACACTTATAGAAACTCTGTTAGGCCTGTGTAATGGATTATTATATACAGTAAAGAACATCTTAGAGAAGATGACATCACAAAAGCAAACAGTTCCTCTCCTAATGCTGATTCCCGCCCTCCTGTTAGGAAACTGAATTGTTGAAGTAAAAACCCTGACAAGGCTAGATGGCAAGCAGGAACAGACAAAAGTCTCATCTAAGACAGTCCAGCTGGACCCTAGCATTCAGCCATCTAGTTTGGGCTATCACTAGGGTTGAGCAGCTAGTAGAAACGTGAAGGACAACATAAACAGAATAGGAATTTTTTTATCTCCCTACCCCAAGGAGCTCTGGTAACATAGTGGTTACAAATCAGGCTGCGAACCGCAAAGTCAGCAGTTTGAAACTACCAACTGCTTCGTGAGAGAAAGATGAGGCTTTCTGCTCCTATAAAGATTTACAGCCTCAGAAACCCTGTTACCGGGTCACTATCCGACTCCATGGCACATAACCACCACCACCACCACTCACATACCACAGAGGGTATCAGGATGACCCATAGTACTTTTGGGGAAATTTTTCTAATATTATTCCTTAAAATTTTGCAAACCCTTTTTTCTTGTCACAAAGAAGAAAAATAAGTCTTAATACAAGATTATTAACACAGTTACCAGCATTAGCTAAAAATGTAAAAGCCTTCAGGATGAAGGGGACTAAACAAAGATGAAGAAATTCCTCAACACCAACTTACCGTGTGACTCCGGCAATTTTCAAGTACACTGTGTGGCAGGCTATAGCTGAGAACAAGTCTTCGAAATTCAGGCAATTGAAAGAGAGACTGAAATAAGAAAGAAAAGGATTTACAGTCTTTAAGATGACAGCAACAGACACTATTTTTCACATTAACAGTATGTAGAACTGTCAGCCTAGGGAGTCCTGATGTGGCGCTGCAGGTTACTGTGCTGGACTGCAAGGTCAGTTTGAACTGCAACGTCGGCGGTTCAAGCCCACCAGCTAGCTGCTCCTCAGAAACCCTATAGAGTGGCTATGAGTCAGAACTGACTCAAGGGCACTTAACAACAATGTACGTTGCTTAGGAATACAGACATATGGTTATACAGCAGAAAGATACCAATTATAGGAATTTGTAACATCCCATGCCTTAAGTTGGGCAGTGATTACAGCATTGTTTACTATTTTCACTGTTTTGAATACTACATTTCAAAACTTCCAACAGGTATCTGGCTGACAGGATTGGGGAGGATTGTTTTCATTGTTTGTAAACTATGCATTTTTCTACAATTACGATAGTTTGTTTTTTTATCCTAGCATGAAAGTGACTCATCCCAACATATTCCTCAAATAAAAACACCCTCTGTCAATTCTGGAACTCCTAAAGCATGCAAAACTTTGGAATCAACATTAGTATTTTATTGGTATTCAAAAAATCCCAGGTATACCCTCTAATGTCAGAAAAACCCAAAATACTTGTATGTGACCAGAGGCCATGTGTCTCCCTCTCTGCCTTCCCAGACCCCACCACAAGCCATCATAAGCCCTGGTGGAGGTCAACCAGTAGCGTGGGCTTTTTTTATGGACTAGGAATCTAAAACAAGGTCCTGTTTTAATACTAAAGTTTATCTAGAACCTGGAGGTAGATTGGTTCCTCTACCCTCAGCCTACTCTCTCTCTTTCTATCGTACCTGCCTAGCTAGTACTTCTCCATTCCGGTCAGTTTCGTTCGTACTCTGCTGGCTAACGGTTTCCAGGACTTCTATTTTACCACGAGAAAAATAGCATTACATTCTTAATTATTTTCTTCCATCTCTTCGCCTTCATTAAAATCTGCTTTTCCCCAATGCTGCCATTACTCTTAAGAACCACCTAAGTTTAAGTTAACACTAACTCACATTTTCACATTCATTATCATATCAGTAGTATTCTTTCACAAACATCAACTTCTACTTGAGTTTTCTGTATTACTCAATTACATCTTCAAGTCCAGTGACCAAAGCTTAGAACCCAAGAATAATCTTTGAATCCTGTCCATTTCTTTACTAATTGTCCACATCCAATAAGTCCCTTGGACCCTGCCTATTGAGATGCTACTTATAACCACCTGCTCCCTACTAGGCCCCTCATTAACTGTTCTAATTAAACTCTCATTACTATGCATGGGCTCCTGACTCCAGAACTTTCCCTCCACCAACCCACTTGCCACAGATTCTTCAATTATTTTTTCTAACATGACCACATAAAGCCCTTGAGTTTCTGAAGACTCACATCTATAATAGTTTTCACTATCCAAATTCCTACAGACCTTTTATGTGACTTCAGGAAACAACTGATTAACTGAACATCAGGTCAGCCCTACCTTGAAAACATATCAATAATCCAAACACATCTCCACTTCCACTGCTATAAGACAGGTCTAAGCCAGCATTTCTCTTTTACAGACTACTCTAAGAGCTTCCTTTATGATGGTGGTAGTGTGCTGTCAAACTGGTTCTGATTCATAGTGACTCTCTATAGGGTTTCTGAGGCTGTAAACCTTTTTAGAAGCCTCATATTTCTCCTGTGGAGCAACTAGTAGATTTGAACAGCTGACTGTGCGGTGAGTAGCGCAGCTCGTATTCCACTACACTACCAGGGTTCTTTAGCCAACTCAAGAGGCTCCTCCATTTGCATCCTTGCCTCCTCCATTCAATTCTCACAGTAGACAGAGTGAGGTCCTGAACACTCAGGTCAGAGTTCCTCAATCTCCTGTGAAGACTCTTCGCTTGGAATAAAAGACACGTTCCCTCTCCAGCTTTCTCTCTGATGACTCCTTCTTTGCTCTCTGCACTCTGGCCACTCGATGTTCTTTGAATACAACAAGCCAGTTTCCAACCTGGAGCCATTGCTCTAGGGTTCCCTCTACCTGGAATGCTCTTCCTTGAACTGCTGCATGGATCACTCTCACGTCCTACAAATCTGGTATTTACTCAAATCTCAATAACTCACTTCACAGTATTACAACTTGCTCTCCCCCTGCTCTGGAGCAGTTCCAATGCCCCTTGTCCAATTTTTTTTTCTCTATTATACCAAAAACATAGTTTAACACACCATACAAATTATTATGTTTATTGTCTGTCTCAACTCAAAGGAATTTAAATTCCATGAGGGCAGGGCTCTTTGTTTTGCTCACTCTTAGTATCTCAAGGGCCTAGAAGCAATAGTAGATATACAGCAGGCAAAGATTTAGCAAGTATTTGTTATGGGACCTCTTGGTGTTTTGTGGCTCTATCTCCAGTGACATATCCCTCCACTCCATCTCTTCTATCCAAACCCACAGCCACACTCGGCGTATGTCAACACCTGAAAAAGTGCCTATCTCAGATCACAACTCAGAAAATCTAACTCTTGGACCATAATCTCTTTTCTGATTTACTTGCTCAATTACCCATAGACCACCTTTAAGGATTTCTTTCCTTTCTCATTAACCGTTAGTCCCATGCTGTCTTTATTTCTCCCTCTAAAGGATCTCTGGTAGCACAGTGGTTACGAATTGAGCTGCAAGGTTAGCAGTTCAAAACTACCAGTTGCTCCGTGGGAGAAAGATGAATCTTTCTGCTCCTGTAAAGATGTACAGCCTCGGAAACCCTGTACAGGGTTGCTATGAGTCGGAACCAACTCCACGGCACATAACAACAACAAACCTAGCTTTAACTTCCGTAACAAAATTCTCAAACTCCCCCTTTGTCATTTCATCAGAGTACCCAGCAAATCCTTCAAACTAAAGTAACTGAAACCTCCACTCAGGGGTTTCAGATGATACCAAGATCTCATTAAAGGTCAGCAACCTCAAGTAGACCCTCAGATTTTTAGAGGTCTTCCTACTGTTTCTCTGAAACCAACTGGCTTTCCCAGTGTCTGCAACAACTAACTTCTATTACCATTTAAGTCATATCACCCCTGTAAATCAGTCCATTAGACACAATTTCAACTCCAATTGGCAACCTTCATTTCTTCCTTCCTCCATTATTCCCTCTCCTCTCTATCTAAGACTAATTCCTCCACATATACTCTATTTGTTGGTGGTGGCGTTAAGTGCCGTTGAGTTGGTTCCAACCCACAGCGACCCAGTATAGGATTTCCGAGGAGCGGCTGGTGAACTTGAACTGTCAACCTTGAGGATGAAACCAACTTTGCAGTCCAGCACAATAGCCCACAGTGCCACACTCGCTCTCTAAAACCTTACACAACAGCCTCTCAATCTGCTGGCTTTCTCCAATATCTCTCATAGCAGTGCAGGTTCAGGAAATGCGAATGGAAGATTTTCTCTCTCTCTAGACAGAAGAGAACTGATGGCCCTAATTCCACACTATCTCCCTACCTTCTACTCTCAACAGATCCTTTTAAAAATGGAAACAGAATCCAGTCACCTCTCTGTCCCAAACCTTCCAATGCTCCCCATGTCATATGCAATCAAAATCTCACCCACCTCCACTGTACCTCTCCAACCTCAACACTTTCTCTTATGCTCCTTAAACACTCAGTTCCAGTCACGGCGGCCTTTGTGCTATTTCGCAAACATATTAATCAGCTCTTAAATTAGAGCCTTTTTACTTGTGTTCCTTCTGTCTGAAATGTTCTTTATGCAATTACATAGGTCATTTCCTTGCCTCCTTCACGCCTCTGCTCAAATGCCCACCAGAAAGGCCACTGACTGACCATTCTATATGAATAGGACCCCTTCTCCTCCCCCTCTCTAGCTAAACCCTTCCTAGACCACCTCCTTTTCCCTCATTCATTTTTCTTTATGGCATTCACCACTTGATATATTTTGTTTACTGTCTGTCTGTCTCACTGTTTTCAAAATAAGTTTCATGACAGCAGGAGGTTTGTCTTATTCACTGTTTCTCCAGTGCCTAAAACAGTGCCAGAAACATAGTTAATGTGAATGAATGGACTGTGTATGGTGTTAAGTGAAAAGGAGGGTTCCACTTTGCGCTTGAGCAGCTGGGTAGATGCCATGTACCCTGCTGGAGAGGATTACAGGGGTGGGATCAAGTGCTACACTTCAGATATGTTAACTTTAATATACTGAGGGGATACTTCCCAGTCAATACTCCCCCTTTGGTTGAGTTCATTCACTACCCTGGCGTGATTATTATCTGCATACTACTACAAACTCCTATAAACACAGCAACCAACTCTGAGGATGAAGCAGCACCAGGCAGTGATTTGTTCTGTTGTATAGCACCAGACTGCAAAGCCGTCTGAACTGCAAAGTCGGAGGTTCAAGCTCACCAGCTGCTCCTCGGAAACCCTATATGGGTGGCTATGTGTCAGAGCCAACTCGATGGCATTTAACAACATACAGGGTCACTATGAACTGGAACCCACTCAACAGCACCTAACAATAACAATACATATTACTAATTCTCAAACGTTTATCTGTACACTCTTTTCTGAACTACAAATTCATATATTTGTCTATCTGGTTATCTCCATATGATGTCTTACATAGTTGCCTTGAGCTCAGAATATCTAAAACCTAAGACTCACTCTTAGCACACATCCAAATGAGTCCTTCTCTAGTGTTGAATGGGGCTGTTATCCACCTGGTTAACACCTTGCAGTTTTTAGCTCCTCTCTGAACATATCCTACATCCAATCACTCATCAACTACTATAGCTGTGATCACCTGAACATCTACACTGTTGTTTAGTGCCATCCAGTTGGGTTCTGAGGCTGTAAATCTTTATGGGAGCAGAAGTCTCATTTTAATCACAAGAATGGGTGGACTCAAACCACAGACCCTGTGGTGCACAGTCCACTGCTAATCCAACAGCACCAGCAGAGATCCTAAATACTTATGTAATTTTTGTTGTTAGGTGCCACCAACTATGTTCCAACTCATAATGACCCTGTACAGAGTTTCCAAGGAGTGGATTTGAACTGCCAACCTTGCAGTTAGCAGTCCAGTGCTTACCCTATAGAATGTCTAATTTCTTTGCTCCCATGACTATCGTCAATCCTCTGCTTAAGGCATCGCCTCCTGCCTGGCTATCTAGGGTAGCCTTTCGTTGAACTGATTTTTCTCATTCACTGTGACTCAGCTATAGTGCAGCATCTGCTACATGCTCATCTGAAATACCTATTCAATATATTGGCAACCACAAAAGATTTTTTTTTTTTTGTATTGCCCAATTTAGTCACCAGAGTATCTAAATCCAAACTACCTAGAAGTAAATAAAACATAATTAAGTCATTGAAAAAAAAAATCCTCCACTTTTGTATGTTTCCATTTTTTAAATGCCTTGTTTCTCACATTTCAGTTTAATAAACAGCATTATTTCCAGAAGACCGCTGTCTCCTAAAACTACACCGTACCTGAATAACAGCGTTAAACCAACATGTATTGCCAACATTTTTCAGCCCAACGGGCCAACCATCCACTCTCCGCCAGTCATTGGGATTGGGATTCTCTCCCCAGACTTCACAACGTTTCCTCTTTGAGCGTTTACTGTCTGCAGCGGTTGCTTCATGCATCCTGCATTGTGTCCAAAAAACAAACAGCAAAGAACAGCACACTATATGGAGGGTGTGGGTAATCTTTAGTCGATGATTCAAAGTGCTAGATAAGCTGTTTACTGAATGATTAGAGACTGAATAAGATGAAACCATACATGAGGAGCAGTTTAAACATAGAGGTGCTAATCCTTCCATAAAGGTGATTATTAGTGGTAAGGTCCATGCTGGATGGGAGTTAAGGCCTAAGGCTTATTCATGGCTACTATAGTGAAAGTTTTAGACTTCAACAGCAGTGTCTTATCTCAGACCTTTAAAAGGACAAGAAAGTAACTCTGCTAAGGATAAAAAGGCTTCAAACTGCCTAGGCACACAAAATCCAGCTTTGTTTCCCTGATGTGTGAGGGAATAAACATACCCAGAAAATCACCACCATTCAGAAAATCACCAAATTACTATCAACTTAAAAAATACACTTGGTCCCCTCTGAGGCAGGACAATTAAGTGATACCTTTCACTGTCAAATATCCAATAATAGACCTTTCAAAGTTACGAAAGGAAATATAAATTTATCAGAAACTTGGGCTAGTTTTTTTTTTTTCTTTCTTTTTTTCTCCCTTCTAGCAACTGTGAACTACAAAACCTTACCAGTACCTATTAAAAACTTTACAGACTATGATATAACCTTTGTCATATTTTGCTTTTTCAAAAGTGGCACAAGCCAATGGATGGAATGTCTTGGATTGAATTGTGTGTGTGTCGTGTCCCCCCCACTGCTAAATACATGTCAACTTGGCTGAGCCATGATTTTCAGTCCACTGCTTATGACTCTATTATGTGATATACTAATAAATATCCCGTCTCAACCTTGATTCAACATACGGGAGTTTTCCTGCAGCATCTTTTATCTTACAGAGATAAAGGCAGAGAGAAGCAAACAGGAAGAGGGAATAGAGGAAATAAAAAGAGTGGCTCCTAGATCCAGACATGGATACCAAGACACCTGTAAATCTCCAAGGAATGCTGGGCCTACAAATGCTGATATGAAACACAGATCCTTCCCCAGAGCCAACAAAGAAAGCAAGCCTTCCCCTAGAGTTGGCATTCTTGAATGTGGATTCCTAGCATCCTAACATTAAGATAAATGGGGAAAAGATTGAAGGCAAAGACTTCATTTTGCTCAGAACAAACATTAACACTCCTGGAAGGAACAGTTAAGAAATCAAATGACAGCTCAGTCAGTCATGGCTTGGAGATGCTTCTGGAAGAACCATCACAATGGCCACCCAAGGAGAACCCCAAGTGCAGTTCAAACTTGTATTGGTTGGTTATGGGAGTAACGGAAAAACTACATTTGTGAAACATCATCTGAATTTGAGAAGAAGTATGTCACCATCTTGGGAGTTTAGGTCTGTTCTCCCCCGCCCACCCCCCCCTTGTATTTCATACTAACAGAGGACCAATTAAATTCAATGTGTGGGACATGGCTGGTCAGGAGAAATCTGGGGGACTGAGAGACGGCTGTTATATCCAAGCCCAGTGTGCCATTATAATGTTTGATGTAACCTCAAGAATTATTTACAGGATTGTGCTTAACTACATAGGGATCTGGTTCGAGTATGTGAACACATTCCCATTGTGTTGTGTGGCAACAAAGTGGACATTAAGGACAAGAAAGTTAAGGCAAAATCAATCATCTTCCACCAAAAGAAGAATCGTCAGTACTATGACATTTCTGTCAAAAGTAACGACAACTTTGAAGAGCCCTTCCTTTGGCTTGCTAGAAAACTAACTGAAGATCCGAAGTTGGAGTTTGTTGCCATGCCTGCTCTTGCCCCACCAGAAGCTGTCATGGACGCAGCTTTGGCAGCATAGTATGATGAGCATGATTTAGAGCAGACAACTGCTCTCCTGGACAAGGACGACCTGTAAGAGAACAAGGCTGAAGTCTGTTTTATAGGTCACTGTTTGATGTCAGTGGTGCAGCATGTTTGCCACTTTATCATCTAGCTAAGCAGAACATGTGTATCTTGGGTATGCTGAAGGAGATGAATAGGCTTCGGAGTGAATGTGGCAATTACAAATATCTTCATTTTTTTAGATCTGTATATCGAGCTGTTAGAATGCAGTCGTTTGCTTTTTGAGTTTCAAATATATGACTGCTACAGTCGCATCACACTATTTATTCAGTGGTGAAATCTTGTTTGTTACTGTCATTCCCATTCATTTCCATTTAGTAATCAGAATAAAATTGTATTTCAAATTAAAAAAATAAAAATAAAATGACATATTGCATTAGACAAGTCTGCTACACAAGACCACTTCAGAGTGTTCAAGAGCAAAGAAGTCAGTTTGAGGACTAAGGTGCACCTGATAGTTTCAATAGCTTCATATGCATGTGAAAGCTGGACAATGAATAAGGGAGCCTGTAGAATAACTGATGCATTTGAGTTATGGTGTTGGAGGAGAATATTAAAAGTACCATGGACTACTAAAAGAACAGATCTGTGTTGGAAGAAGTACAACCAGAATACTCCTTGGAAGCCAGGATGGCCAGACTTTGTCTCTCATCCTTCAGACATATTATCAGGAGGGATTAGCGCCTGGAGAAGAACATCATGCTTGGTACAACGGAGGGTCGGAGAAAAGGAAGAAGACCCCCAATGAGGTGGGCTGGCACAGTGGCAGCAACAATGGGCTCTGGTGTATCAACAATTTCAGCTGGCACAGGACCAGGCAGTGTTTTGTTTTGTTGTACATCAGGTTGTTGAGTCAGTACTGACTCGATGGTACCTAAATACAACAACAAGACTCCTAAATTGTGAGAGAATAAATTTGCTTATTAAATTCAGGGGGGGAAAAAGGGCTACAGACTAATAAAGTAAAGTGAATTCAAATTTCCTACAAAAAGAAATTTCATTCAGGTTCAATTAAAAGAGCTTTGTGAAGCATTTGACTGTCATTTTATAGAGATACTGCCTTTGACCTACACACTAATATGAGGAGCAAAGTTTTTAAGTTAAATCTGTAACCTGTTAAGATCTCTTCCATCTGCTTGAATTTTGGGGGATTCCAGTAGACTCATAGCAATTGCAGCCTGAAGATCATCTTTGTTGTCGTGAGTAAGGTCTATCACTTCTGTAATATAAACAGAAATGTAATTAGTCTAAGTATGCAAGAAACACTACCCTTTGGTCCCTTGTGTAGAAAAAGGCAAAGACATTCAAAAAACGGAATCTTCTCCATCTTCCTAACTCTAGCTACATACAATGGCTCATCTGTGTTAACAAATTTATTACTCTATCCCAAAGTCAAATGAGTAACAGCTACATTGTAATCTTACACTAGTCTAGTGATTTGTTGTTGTGTTGTTGTTATGTGCCGTGGAGTCGGTTCCGACTCATAGCGACCTTGCACAGGGTTTCCGAGGCTGTTAATCTTTATGGGAGCAGAACATCTCATCTTTCTCCCGCGGAACCGTGGGTAGTTTTGAACTGCTGACCTTTCGGTTCGCAGCCCGATTCGTAACCACTACGCTACCAGAGCTCCTTAGCAGTAGCAAGCAGCTAAAAAGGAAATGAATCAAATATATATATTTTTTTCCCATAGCTTATAGGTGGTAAGTCTCTTTATTAATATTCGTAAAACATCCACTAACCTTGTAAAACATCAGCTACATATCAAACACTGAAGGAATACACATTTTCAATCTCACACAAACTATTCTAGAGACGAGAGAACATATGCTTAACTCATTTTATAAGGTCAGCGTAGCAGCTTCAAAAATCCATGGAATCAGAATTTTCCATGAACTTTCTGAAGTCACCTCGTATATACCAAACCAGTCTAGGATAGTAAGACAAAGGGGGAAATGACAAACTTACACATGATCACAGATGTATTTAAAACAAAAAATACTTAACAAAATATTAGCAAAAGGAATCTAATGAGGCATTTGTTGCTACTGTTGTCATAGCAATGCTGTCTAGGGTTTCCTGAAGCTGTACATTTTTGTAGTACAGCTTCTCCTTCTCCCATGGGAGCAGCTGGTAAGCTCAAACTGCTAAACTTATTTGTAGTACACTGCTTATTGTATAGAGCCACTGCACTTTCTTATAATGCATTTTTTAAATTATATATTAAATAAAACCTGTTGTGTTTATTGTGGAATGAAATACTGAGTTAACATTAGAAAATCAAGAAAAAGCAGGATCTTAAACAGATTAAAGGAAAAATCCATCAGTTCAATAGATAAAAGAAAAAATCAGCAGCTCAAACCCACCAACTGCTCCTTGGAAACCCTATGTAGAGTCACTCAAAGGCACACAATGACAACACAGAACATCCATTTAGGATGAAAAATTCCAAGCCAATCAGAAACAGAAAAGGATATTCATAGGCTGGGAAAGAGTATCCAGAAAATGTCTACATAAACTTTGTAATTATTAATGAAATATGAAATAACTTTTTTTTACCAGTAGTAAAACTGAAGAACTAGATAGTAACTGCTACCACTACCAACCGCTGTGAAAGAGATCACGTTAGAAGGTCCTGATAGAGCTGGAGAAAATGTGGAACAATACTCAAAAAAAGAAAGAAAGAAAGAAAAGAAAAGGACCAGAAAGAGACTGGAGGAACCCTGAGAACATGGCCCTAGAACACCCTCTTCAGGTATGCAATGAAGCTCACCTTCCTGTTCCATATTTTTAGCCAAGTAGTAGATAGGTATATGTTGTTGGTGTGTTTGACTCATAGTGACCCTGTATAGTTTCCAAGGAGCAGCTGGTTGGTTTGAACTGCCAACCTTGTGGTTAGGAGTCCAGTGCTGACCTTACGTGCTACATCAGGATTCCAGTTAAGTATTTGTTATTGTCATTGTTAAGCACCGTCAAGTCAGATCCAACTCAGTGACCCTGTATGGGGTTTCCAAGGAGCGGCTGGTAGGTTTGAACTGCTGAGCTTGTGGTTAATAACCCAATGCTTATCCTACAGTGCCACACCAGAACTCCAAGATAAGTATATGTTGTTGTTGTCAAGTTGATTCCAACTCACAGCAATCCAATGTAGGATATCCAAGGATTGGCTGGTAAGCTTGTGGTTCAAACCAACCTAGTAGTCCAGCGCATTAACCCACAGCGCCACACCAGGACTCCAAGATAGATATATGGGGGGTGAGAGACAAAAACACTAGTAAGGTATGCTCACAATAGGATGGTCAATCATTCAAAATCCACAGGGCAATAATAAAGTTGAGAAGAAATGGGAAAATGGGTGGAACAGAAATAGGGACCACAATGAGGAAGCGGGATAGCTGTTGTTGCATGGAGGGGATTGCAATCACTGAGATGAAACAAAGCATATGATTTGCTAAAACTAAAACTGATGATCTTGTCTATAAACCTTCATTCAATTCACACACAAAAAATTTTTATAAGTAGTAAAGCAAAAATGTTTAGTAGTACTGGTTTTTCCACAAGTGTTCTGAATTATTCACCCAGTGCAAAAAGATGATAAAAGAAACAAAAATATACCGTATGGAAAATAAGAAACAAAGTTGTCATAATTCAAATAATCGGCAATGTGGAAAATCCAAAATAATCTACAGTAATTATAAGAAGCAATTAAGATTTTAAAAACCAATATATAAAAGATAATTAATGGTTATGAGTTGGGCTGTTAACCTCACAGTCAGCAGTTCAAAACTACGAGCAGTTCTGCAGGAGAAAGATGAGGCTTTCTGCTCCCATAAAGATGTATAGCCTCAGAAACCCCTATCCAGGGTAGTTAAGAGTTGGAACTGATTCCACAGCACACCACCACCACCACCACATGGACATTTAATTTTAAAAGAAAACAAGCACACCACAAAGCTACTGTAATCAAGACTGTGTGCTGCTGACACAGATAAATGGAATAGAATTCAGAGTCCTTAAACAAACCCCACTGTCTATGGTCAACTACCAAGAAAATTAATTTGGGAAATGGTATCTTTTCAACAAAGGGTACTGGAACAACTAGATATCCACATATAAAAGAATGAAACTCAACTCCTACTGCATGCCATCTTAATGGACAAAGACCTCGAGGTAAGAGCAAAAACTAAAACTTTTACAAGAAAACACAGTCATCAATCTCTGTGGAGAATGTGAATTACACATTAGTATCTTAGATATTACATGTAAAGCACAAGAATATACTGATTAAAATATATAGATTATAATATAATATAAGGACTATAAAGATTAAACACGTTTGGGCATCAAAGGACACTATCAAGAAAGCAAAGAGACAACCCACAGAATGGAAGAAAATATTGGTAATCACCTATCTAATCAGAAACCTACATACAGGTTCTGACAGGACCTAAAGGATCCTGACAGAAACTGACAAGGGAGGAAATCCACTATTACTTAGTCCCACTTAGGAGGACTCTTAACACTGCTAAGCTACTGCCCTGAAGTAGTCTTTAAGTTTTGAGCCGAAACACCCTGCTCAAGTAAGCTCAGTAGCTGGTTAGCTCACTTGAATACTCACTTGAGATGGTTTCTTTTAAGAACTAAAACAGAACTACTACAACAAAACCAACGAGGACACTTAAAATAATGTGAAGAACATAATACAACCAGGCCACTGAACTACACAGAAATGGAACAGGCACCTAATTTTATGGTATACACTTGCATTGAAAGTCTTTGTATTTTTTTAAGTGAAAGGGTTAAAAAAAAAGAAACCTATATACAAAGGAGTTCTGGTAGGTAGTGGTTACAAGTCAGGCTGCTAATCTCAAAATCAGCAGTTTGAAACTACCAGTCACTTGCCGGAGAAAGATGAGACATTCTGCTCCCATAAAGATTTACAGCCTTGGAAACGCTATGCTGTTGATGTTGTTAAGTGCCGTCCAGTCGATTCCGACCCATAGCGACCCTGTACAGGGTTTCCGAGGAGCAGCTGGTGAGTTTGAACCGCCGAGCTTGCAGTTCAAACTGCTTTGCAGTCTGGCACCTTAACCCACAGCGACACACCAGGACTCCTGGAAATGCTATACAGGTTGCTATATACAAAAAGAAAAAGATCCCAATTTTTAAACTGGTCAAGGGATCTGAATAGAAATACAAATAGATGATACGCACATGAAAAGATGCTCATCAACATAACCTTTACAAAAAGGAAAATTAAAATCACAATGAATCCTCATCCATAATATTTTGGGGTGGGAAATTTACACTTAAAGGACAAGCAGACCAGCCTGGAATAGCTAGAAGAAATAGAAGATACTTCTTGAAAGAAAGACCAGCAGGAAAATAAAAAACAATAATGGCAGTCCAATTGACTACTACAAGAACAAGCTGGCTGTTCGCCCGGGGAGCCATTAAGGCAAGTGGTCAGTACCCTCTGAGCAAACCCCCGTCAATGACTAAGATTCAAGGGGAATGCAGAGTAGGCACGTGGTCTTACTGCTGAACACACTGACCACCTAATAAGGGCAAGTGGGGGAAAAACAGCAATGAAGTTGTGAGCTAAGTCCAACCATGTTCAACAGACTGCTGTCCACCTGGATTGAAACATGGTTGGCCAGCAGTATGGCGAAACCTGAGGATTCCTGGGCCCAGGGACAAGGACATGGCCAGAGTACTAGTGCTGAGAGTGAAGCGTCCAGCTGTTATGAAGTGAGGGGAGATGCACAAGAAAACCCATACTTGCAGATAGTACCCATTTGACCTGGCTTCAATAGCTGGATGACCAGAACTCGACTAGAGGAAGAAAGAGGAAAAAAAGAGTAACCGCTACAATTTGATGCACTTGACCAATGCTTGTGGATGTAGTAGCTCAAAAGAGTTCATGGAATGAAATCTTTACAGTGAGGATCATTCCCACCTCCTTGGTACACAGGGTTGGCAGGGATGGGCAACTTAAGACATTGGCTACCCAAAATGGGGTGCTACAAAGACACGAAGTGACTAGCTTACAAGCTTTCGAGAGCCTCGTTCCAGAGGGTACAGTACGGGGGAAGGCAGAATCTTCACTGAGTGGTTACCAACCTGTCTGGACCAGGCTAGTGAAAGGAGATGCGGATAAGACTCTTGTGGTTCAATAGTGAATAATTGCTATCAGGACTGACTGTGAGTGCTACAAATGTA